GGCATCTCCCCTTACAACACTCAACAGACGTCTGGGGACAGAGGAGACCAGTTTCTCAAGTTTAGAAATAGGAATGCTCTCCCATTCATGTCTAATACAGGCCTCTAACTGTTCAATCGTCTTGGGCCTTCTTTGTCGCACCTTCCTCTTTATGATGCGCCAAATGTTCTCTATAGGTGAAAGATCTGGACTTTCTGGACAGGCTGGACATTTCAGTACCTGGATCCTTCTCCTACGTAGCCATTATGTTGTGATTGCTGCAGAATGTGGTCTGGCATTATCTTGTTGAAAAATGCAGGGTCCTCCCTGAAAGAGATGACGTCTACATAGGAGCATATGTTGTTCTACAACCTGAACATAGTTCTCTGCATTAATGCTGCCTTTCCAGACATTCAAGCTGTCCAGGCCACCAGCACTCATGCAACCCCATACCATCAGTGATGCAGGCTTCTGAACGGAGCGTTGATAACAACTTGGGTTATCCTTGTCCTCTCTGGTCCGGATGACATGGCGTCCCAGTGTTCCATAAAGAACTTCAAATCGTGACTCATCTGACCACAGAACAGTCGTCCATTTTGCCTCACTCCATTTTAAATGACTCCTGGACCAGTGCAAACGGCTGAGCTTGTGGAGCTGCTTAGAAATGGCTTCCACTTTGCACTGTAGAGTTTCAGCTGGCAGCGCGGATGGGACGGTGGATTGTGTTCACCGACGATGCTTTCTGGATGTATTCCTGAGCCCATGCTGTTGTTTCCTTGACAGTGGCATTCCTGTTTGAGGTGCAGTGACGTTTAAGGGCCCGGACATCACGAGCATCCAGTAGAGTTTTACGGCCTTGACCCTTACGCACAGCGATTGTGCCAAATTCTCTGAATCTTTTGATGATGTTATGTACAGTTGATAACTTAAAAGTCTTTGCTATTTTACGCTGGGTAACACCATTCTGCTATTGCTGTACTATCTTTCTGCACAACAATGGTGGAATTGGTGATCCTCTTACCATCTTGGCTTCAGAGAGACACTGACACGCTAAGAAACTATTTTTATACCCAATCATGTTGTCAATTGACCTAATTAGTGTTAATTGGTTTGTTATATGTTCAATTTCCTTTTTCCAGCCATTTATTGCTACTTGTCCCAACTTTTTTGGGATTTGTAGACACTGAAATTTTTAATCAACATATTTTTCCTTTAAAATGTTACATTTACTCAGATTAAACTTTTGATCTGCCATCTATGTTCCATTACGAATAAAATACTGGCATTTGCCATCTCCACATCATTGCATTCAGTTTTTATTCACAATATGTTTAGTGTCCCAACTTTTTTGGAATCCGGTTTGTAGTAGAAATGCAGCTGTTCTGTTAAAGCCTCAGAGGTTTGTTAAGAGGACATTAGTGAACAATCAGCATCATGAAGACCAAGAAGCAGGAAGTTTAAATAGGACTGGGTTATAAAACAGCTTTGAAGTGTATGGCACAACTTACCAACATGGCCATCCACCTGAACTGTCCGGTGCAAAGAGAACATTTATAATACAACCAGCCAAGAGGCCGGTGGGAAGTCTGGAGGAGCTGCCAGGATCCACAGCTCAGGTGGGTGAACTTATCCACATGACGACCATTAATCGCACACTTCATCTTTACTGGACAAGTCCCAGTCATCTGCATGATTCCTGAAGAATAACTGCTAAGCTACAATGTTAGAAATAATAATAAAAAAAAATCATCTAAAATGTATAGAATTACTTTTATATTTAAATCAGTTTGGCCCAGAATCATTATTAGTTTTTTAAGATGGCCTAAAGTGTCACACGAGGCTCTAAAAATCACTATACACTATTGCAGACTCCTAATTTAAGGGATAAGGTGTCTCACATTAAGATAAACACATTTTAGTCTCTTCTGTTTGCAAAAAGTCCAATTAACTCACACTCTTTCCCACAGATGAACAAAAAATGAATTAGACACCAAAATATTTAAATTTCTTAACTACATAAGTAATGCATCTTTTTAACTACGATTACCCACAATAAATGTAAACTTCTGCAACTTGTTCGCTAAGGTAGTCGCTCCAAAATTATTTAAATTGATCACAAAAATCCCAAAATCCGAGAAATGTGGCCGGCCATGTAACTTACGGTAATTTTGTACTTCTTTGTGATAAAAACACAATCACCTGGTGTCATTACATGGTGCATCCTCTGCCATGACTGTATTTCAGAAGCCAGTCAGTTATGAATGTGAAGCAGAGACAGTTTCATCACTTTATTAATGAGTTTAATTATTTATACCAACAAACAAAAACTGTCTCTCTCCCTCCATCCCTCATTTTTCATCATCATCATCTCCTTTATCAAACGGCACTGTCCCCAGTAATGACATGTTACCCTCTTAAAAAAAAGGGGCAATAAAAGGGTCACCGCAAATAAAGTGTCACAACTCAGGAAATTGCGGGGGGATTAAAAAAAACATGATTAGCTAGCTCTTCATGTAGGAGAACGTTTATGGTCAGTCAGCGCGCCACACACACACACGCACACACACACACATTCCCTGCTCAAACTTTCCATCTGTGAAGATTACAAACTTGACTGACAGGTCAAAACTTTTACACACAGAAAGCAAAAACAGCTCACCGTCAGACAAAGGAGATGATACATGTCTTCTAGATTGATTCGTTTTTCCCTTTTCCTCCACACACACATACACACAATTTGATTTGTGCCCACATCCACTCCCTAAAACACACACACACACACATACGGGCCCCACGTATACAGAGGCTTGTAACATTCCCTTCACATTGAAGTTTAATGGAAAACCAGAATCGGTTCGCAAGTGCACCTGCATACATACAGGACCGTAAATCAGTACAGTATCTTGGATGTGAAATTATTTTGCATCTGACAGAACCAACTTGGATTTGAAAAATAAAAATCCAATGAGAAAGTCCCCAGCCCTCCCCTAAAAACAGTACAATAAATAAAACAGTCATGACAACATTAATGGAGGACGAGGGAAAGTGGAGGCGAGGAATGGAGGAAGAGAGAGAATAAAAATGAAACATTTTGTTCTGTTTTTCTCCCCTTTCTGAACAAGGGACTGAAATGAAACTGTATTTACAGACTGCGACTGAGGATAAACAGTCCGGCTGCTGCTGCTGCTGGGCCGGTCTACTACAGAAAAGAAAAGAAAATTACAAGAACAACAATATAATAACAATAATAACAAAAAATAACAAAATAAAAGGTACTTGATATATTTACAGTTCAGCTGTGAAAAAAAGGAGGGAAAAGTGGGAGGAAGAGGAGGAATGGAAGAGGGGGAGGCTCCGAAAGCTGTCGGGATTTTCCAGGGGGTTTGAGCATAACATCTGGTCAGATTATAACATATCAGTCGGGTCAGCTTGAACTGAACATGCACGTCTATGTTGTTTTTGTTTTTTTTTGTCTTTTTTTGTCTTTTTCCGAAAGAAAGAAACCCATCTCGTACTGACAGCGGACTGTTAGCTTAGCAATGCATTCAAAGAGCAACATGATATGAGCGGCCCCCTGCACCTGATGTCAGTCTTTTAACATAATCGAGCCGATGTGAGACGCAACACTGTACAGCAACATAATTAACGCGGCGCTGCGCCTCGACGCGTGGCAGGCGCCGAGGCTCGTGTTTTAGATGCGACCGTAGCCCCGCGGCAGAGGCTCTCTCTCCTCTGTGCGACGTTAAAAACTGGCCCCTTTGCTTCCTTCCACTCCCGCCTGGAGATGTGCAATACTTACTGAGAATCAACACCAACCACTCCGCTTTTCCAGCTTGACAAACGAAGCTTATAAACGACAAACCTGAAGCAGCGCAAACTCTGCTCAAACACGCTTCCTCCTCGTCGCAGGGAAAAAAAAAAAGGCAGTTTAAGGAGCTAAAGCACGAAAACAAAGCGGTAAACAGCAGTGGCGCTCAGTTTCTGTACTATCATTAAAACCAGCTCTCGTTTAAAAGGTTTCTCCGGTGAGAGACTATAATGTTAAAATAACTGTTTGGACATTTTTGGAAAGCAACGGAAGAGGATCTTCTATAAACGCTGAGCTCTGGTTGGGATGATTGTCAAAAATCAAGCTGTGAATACTCCTCGTCATCTCAACTCCAAAGCCAATCAAAAGTCAAATCAGTGGCCATTTCTAAAATATTTTAATGCAAATTAAATACATTTAAAAAAGAAAAAAAGAATAATAAAAGTCAGCTGTTGATTTCAATACAGAAACCCCAGAATGTGTAGAAGACTTCTCCTTATCCTACCGACTTTGACTTTTTATTCGCCCATTTGAACTGCAGCTTCCATTAAACCAAAGGGCAGCTACAAAACGCCGATAAAACAACCCACAGCTTCATGAAGCAAGCGGCCGCAGCAGCCGCTTTCTACAGGAATAGTTTTGGAAAAGATACAAATGCAGAGCGTTTAAGTTGAGTGAGTTTGGTTATCTTTTTCTACTTTAAAGGTTGGAGCCTGGACGAAGTTTTTAGAGGGAGAGGAGCAGGGGGAAGAAAAAAAAAAGGATGTGGGGGCGGGGAGGAAGAAATAATTGGGGAAGACGAAACTGAAATTTGTGATAGAGGGATGGATGCTCAGGTGCTGTTGTTGATGGATCCGGGTGCTGAGCTGGGCTGGGCGGTACTGTCCGACACGCTGCCCTCTGCAGGGGAAAAGCCAGAATTACTATTCACAGGTCAGATTTCGAACACGCTGCAGTCGGTTCACATCCTCTCATCTCTGCCATAAAAGTCATTAATTTGAAGCTGAAGGTGTTTTTTTTTGTTGTTTTTTCAGGGTGGAATGAAGATGCAACAAACATCCTCTGTTGCATTTTTCAGAGCGATTTCCAGCATTTCACAAGCTTTTAGCATGTTAGTGATAGATTCAAATAATTCAACTAAGGATTAGAAATTTTTTGCAATAATTTGAACCAAACGCAGCAACATTACGGACAAAGATTTTTTATCTTTTTTTTTTTTTTTTTACAGTTTTTGCTTAATTACTAGTCTGAATGTGTTGTTTCAGTGAACTGTGAGTCTTTATGCTGCTGTTTCCACCTATATCCATCCATTCTTTATAGTAGAGCTTCTTTAAATTGTTTGATATTTTTCACTCTTTTAGCGAAATCATGATTAGTTTTCAGCATGTGGTCAGTGTGTTTATAGAAGCCAAATGTCGGCCTGTTGTGATCCTGGGCTTTTCCCAAAAATCCTGACCAACTTCGATAGTTTGGGTCAGATGGTTTGAAATTTGGACAGAACTAAATAATCCTGCAAGACAATAATCCCAAACACATCACAACTGGTTTAGAAAAGAATAAAGCAGGTTTACGTCAAGCTAGTGTAATAGCCGTGACCTCAACCGCATTAAAAATATAAGGACAAAACTAAAACGGTCTGCACATAAAACCAACTAATGGGTGAAATTAAACTCTTTCTGCCAAAAAGACGGCTCAACTATCCTGAATTATAGTTCAGGATAATTTGCTATGTTGCTATATTAGCAAGTTGCTTGCTGATCAACTTGCTATGGGAGACTTAAACGTTTATTAAGGTTCTCCGTTTACAATTCTCACTTTTGACAATAATTCAGGTTATTTGCTTTTTTATTTTTTATTTTTATTTTTACTCCACCCTGAAAAATGGTTCAAATGATTCATTAAAAGGCCAAAATGAATGACTTTCATGCTGCTGTTAACATTCACATCTATCCATGTTTGATTTCACTTTAAACAGAAACAAATGCAGTTGGACCAAAGTGGAAAGCAGAAGCAAAGCGGCTAACTGTACCGTGTGAGGCAGGCGATGTCTGTGCACGAGCGTGAGGAGGAATGAGTGTGGAGTTCAACTGGGGCTGAATGGACAGCTCTGAAAGCAGAGAGGAACAAATTGTCAATTACAGATAAAACAGTCGATTAAACAACAGCGGCTGCTAACTTATGATGCGAGTGTAAATTGCCAAACGGTCAGGCTGAACGCAGAGGGCAGAAATGAACTGACCAACAGGACTGAAGTTGAAAAGGGGCGGCAGTTCCCGTCCGCTGGGCAGGCGGGTGTTGGGCTGACGTAGCTCATCGAAGAAGGCGTGCGCACACGCTTCCAGAGGAGACAGTCTGGAAACGGGGGTGTACTCCAGCAGGCGGGAGCAGAGGGCGATGGCCTCTGGTGGGGTGCGAGGCTTAAACACCTGAGAGGAGAGAGGAGGTCAGCATCAGTGTACAGACAAAACCCGTCAAAAGAGAAGCAACTGGAAATTTGGGGGGGAAATAGGCAGAGATTTAAAAGTTTAATTGTATGAAGTCAGAAGAAAGCAAACCTTTGTCCAAGGATGTGCTTTGATCTGTGGGAATTTAAACTCTGTGTAGTTTGGGTTCATCTCCCGGATCTGCTCCCTCGTCGGCGTCCCCAAAACCTGAAAAGGATGGAAAATTACTTGTTACCAATCAAGACCATTAAAAAAAGTTATATTAAGGTTTCCATTTATATGGTGCATTACATATATTGACCAATTGTTGACAAAACGCCTCTTGCAAAAAAAAAAAAAAAATTAAACCTCCTCCTTCTTGTAACAAAGCGGTAATCAGAAAAGTTTCATAGACTCGTTCCACTCCTGACTGGTAGCTGTTTATTTTTGACTCCCATGTTTTTTTTTTTTTTTTTTTGTTTTTTTTTTTCAAATTTCGTTTTTTTCCATGATTGTTTTATGATTCAAACTCAGGGTTCCTACATATTTTCATGTACAAATTCCAGACTCAACTTCCCAAAGTCCTCAATAAATATATTTAGAAACTGCAAAAGAACACCATGAATTTATAGCGGATTCCTACACTTTAGACACAGAACATGAAGAAAAGAAACAGGAAGGAAGTAAGGAAGCACACAAGAAAGTAACAAAAGAAAGGAAACCAAGTATGAAAGGGAGGGCACAATGAGGGAAAGAAATGCAAGTAAAAACAAAGAAAGGAAGAACATGGTGTGGAAGGAAGGAATGGCAAAGGTAAGAGAAAAAGACCAAGTGAAAGACAAGGAGGGAAAGCAAGACTGGAGGAATATAGTAGTGAAGGAGGAAGGTCGTGTTGAATGATGAAACAGATTTTGAAACAAAGCCATCTGCTCAGAAAGAGAGTTATAAAGTCTGTAGACGTAGGAGAAAAATGTCCTCGCTAAGTTCACCAATTAGAGTTGAAGGAAAAGTTGTAGAAAGAACTGGGTTTACTAACTAGATAAATATACGCATTAATAGATCTACATCCGTCTCCTCGGTTTGACAATAAACCATTTCCTCAGCTGCCGTTTCCACAAAAAATGTCACCATATTAAATTATTTTATAAAGCAAAAACAAACACCCTCCTATTTTCCTGTCTCAAGTCAAAACCCATTTTTTTTCCAACTACTCTATTAACTTCAGGTTATTAACATCAATTAATAAGCTGCTGTTTCTAAAAACTCATTATTTTGCTTTAAACTATGTGATTTGCACACACATTTAAACAGAATTACAAACTTCTTATTCAAAAAACCCCCATTCTATCACTACGGTAACCTGCATGTGGTACGTTAACGCAACATGTTATCAACTGGTTTGTTAGCTTTTCTGTCCAGACGACATCAGAGCGGCGGTACCTTAATGATCTCTACTAACTGGTCCACACCGCTGTCCCCGGGGAAGATGGGCTGGCCCAGCAGCAGCTCGGCTAACACGCAGCCGGCCGACCAGATGTCGATGTTGGACGTGTAGTCGGTGGCGCCGAATATGAGCTCTGGGGCACGGTAGTACCGTGAGCAAATATAGGACACATTCGGCTCCCCTCGAACTAGCTGCTTTGCACTGCGCAGTTTTTGAAGAGTGAGGGGGGAAAACAAGAGACAGTCAGAGACAATAAAATTGTTTTGTTAAAAGTCAGCAATCAAAAAAAAGAACTAAACAATGAAGCGACTTTCCAACCTGCCAAAGTCACAAAGCTTGAGGATGGCCGTCTCTGGGTCTACCAGGAGGTTCTGAGGCTTTATGTCTCTGTGACAAACGCCCTGGGAATGGATATAAGCCAGACTGCGAAACAGCTGGTACATGTACACCTGAGAGGGGCAGACAGAAACAATCACAGAGTTAAACAAGCAGCCAGTCTCACCAATTATGGAAAAACAAGTAAAAATGCAATTTTCTTTTCCCATGTTGCAGCGTTAAAATAAAATAAAAAAAATGGGAGGATTAATATAAAAACTAATTATCTGTTGGGATTTCGCGGAAAAAAATAACAGCTGGGTGCAGATTTGTCAAGTTTACTTCTGTACATAATCATCAAAAGTAAACATTTATGTAATCAGAATATTTGAATGACTAAATAACCGCAAATATGACATTACCACGCTTTAACATATTTGAAAAAGGAAAATCTTCAGACTTCTCATTTTCAATGGTTTACAAGTCTAGTTTGGTGGTTGTGTTTTATTTTAGATAGATGAAATGTCTTCCGGCTCCAGTGTGGAGTATTTCTCCCCCACAAAATTAAAGTTTATCGGTGGTCGAGAGAGTGAACAGTACTTTATTCTGCCATTATGAATGTATTACTTGAAAATGGTTTCAAAGCAACAATATTATCATTTAGCGCTATAATTTCTGGGACAATTTATCGTTAAGGAGAATTTGTTATTATGACAGGCCTAGATAGAGCCGCTTATTAAAGACCACTTGGATTTTTTTTTTTTTTTAAAGCTCTGAACAGCGAGATATAAGAGAGAGAAATCTCTGCCTCTCCTGCTCCCCAGAGCCTGGGTCTCTGGAGACGAAGCATGTTTTAGGAGAACCTACATGCTCCGTGCTCATGTTTGCGTGCTCTCCCACTGACGGGCTGCTACCTGGAGTGAGCGCTCCTTCCCTCATTACACAGGAGGCCAGGAACAACTGAGCTGTCAACACAAATGTTTGCACTGCTGCAGTCCCTGTGAAGCATTTCAGTTAAACAAAAGCTGTTTCACACTCAAATATACAAACACTTTTGAGTCATCATGGGAAACCAGGGTATGAACTGCTTGTTCCACGCAGAATATTATTTTCAGGCACCGATAAATGTTAGTTATTTGACAAAAAAAGGCACCCTTAATGTTATCTAAACTACTAAGACGTCAAAAATATATAGTTTATCAGTAAACAAAATGAAAATACTCTGTCCTACTCACCCCAGAGATAAGATCCAGTATATAAAATAAATGAAAGATACTACTAAGAATGATCCCCTAAACGTTTAAACTAAATCGCTTTTGTTTTAAAATTTCACAACCAAAAAATTATTTCCTAGTGGGTGCCAATCACAGCTGAGCTGGATGTGTCACCATGATCCAGTTCTGAAGAAAGCAGCTGACAGACTTCATGAGAAACAGACCAAATATTCCCTTCGTCCATGTTGGGCTACATGAAAACGGTTTAAGTGAACATTGTGTGGATTGTGATGAAGCCTGCAGTAACACATTTCTACACCGAAATAGCATGGCGGGGAAAATTCTCCCAGAAGAAGTGAAACCGTCCCCGTCTAAATCTTCTGACATGTGTCCTCACATCTAGGTCGGTGATGTCAGCCTCAAATCTGAAATATGACAATACAATGAAGTTGGCAATCTTCTGCTGCATCTGCGAATTGCAGGCAGGAAGCATCTTAACATGACAAATGATGACTGCAGTCATCGTCATAATTATCGCCATTATTGCCCACGGGGCGCCTTGACAGCAGGCCGAGTGGATTATAAAATAATGGGGGACAAGATGACTGAGGGATGAGAAATGACGGCTGTTAATGAGAGGGCAGAAGGGCTTGGAAGAGAAGCTAAACAAAAGGAAACATGGTAAAAACATGGGAGGGAAGAAGAAAAAAAAAAGACTCTGGCAGTGACACGACGGAAATATGTCAGAGAAGGAAGAAAAGGACGTCAGGGAAGAAAAGAGAGGGAGATCAGCGTGCATGTGGACGCCTCAGGGGAGCAGCAGGCTGAGGTGGGGAAATGGGCCATGAGACATCTATAATGTCCTCTCCGCTGCTTCATATGCAGTAAACACAAAGACCAACATGAGCAGCGTTTTCACAGGAATCCAAGGGAACTGCAAGCAATTAACTCCCATGGGTCCGTCTTTTCTTTCTGCTTTCATTATCCTGCTGAGCCGTCTGTGAAAGCAAACAGACTTATGGGTTCATTATATCCTCAGAAGAGCAGAGAGGAAACAAATATTCAAGATTTATACTAAATGCCATTTTACAATAAAAATAATAATAACTACAATCTGCTTTAAAGCAGCAAGTACTTTTAAGAGCAATTTCCCAGGCTAGGATTTGAAGCTGCAGTCAGAGGGATGTAAACACTTAGATTCAACTTGGGAAGCAGTTTCTTTGTAAACAGTATTTTGCAATATTTATGTTGTGCGGAAATAGTAACACAATCTTACATTTCGACTGTTTCTAAGACAAATGCAGAGCAATGCAAATCAAGGTTTCACCGACTCAAATTTAAAATAATAATGAATAGAATTTAATGCATATATCTTCACAGAAATGTACAAATTTTGTCCAGCCAACTGGCAATTTATTTGCACTTGCACATTAAAGATGCAAAAAAGCTCCCAGCTAGCAATGTAATGTTAGCAGTGAGTCAACATTTAGAGTCACAGAGAGCAACGATGATGTCTGAATGCAACTCAAACTTTTGCCAGAGAGAAAAGTCCAGCGAGGGGGAAAAAAACACACTGAATATACGACATTAAATAGTCCTGCCAATAAAAAATTAAGACCCGTGATTAAAATGTTAAAAACCAACTTACTTTGTAAATTAAGTTGAGGCATTTTTATGTTAGATAAATGAACTTAACACTTTTAAAGGATGCAGAGACCAGGTAAAAATACACACCGCCACCTTCTAAATTGAAAAAATCAGAATTATATAAATTTTAATGCAATTAAACTTAACCTGAACTATTCTGAAATAACGAAAAAAAAAAAAAATTGCCGAGGCCTGCAGATGGGGGTGGGAATGACTTCTTAGCACAATGTGGGTGATTTGAGCCTCGACTCACCTTAACATAGATGATGGGAACGATGGCCTTGGCCTTGTTGAAGTGCCGAGCCACCCTGTACACCGTCTCTGGGACGAAATCCAGCACAAGATTCAAATACACCTCGTCTTTCTGGTGCAGAGAAGTGAAAGAAAGGAGAAAACAATCTCAAGTCACTGTCAAACAGGCATTTTCTTGACAGATTCTTCAGGAGCAGGATGTGACGTCACAAGCTACATTCTTTTCGCTCCAGACTTGTTTTTCCAGATCTGCAACCCGAACACAGGGGGCTTTTTTATGGCAGCATTTCCTCTTCAAACACTTGCAGGTCAGAATGTGACTGGGAATGAGGAGTCTGACCGCCAACCTTTATTCAGCACCACTAATGTACAGGATTAACCACATAAGTCCTGTAACACTTGGATAAATGTCCAAGTCATATTGATTGAGGAAACATTATATTTGTGCCACAATTTTAATATTAACATATTTATTCATCCAATTCCTAATCACGTATTTTGCCTTGGAACTGTATCTTATGTAGCGTGATCTAAATAAAGTATTAAGTAAAAATATATACATTTTTAGCTACATAAGTTTCAGTTTATTCCACTATGACCCCAAATATCAAGATTAAGCTGTCATAGAGTCATATCAAAACAAAATAGTAAACATGCTACAGGTATCTGTTGTTGTACAAAAAAATTAAATCTAATACCGTCACTGGTGATTGATCAAAGTCGGTTGTACAATGAAGCAACGTAGCATTATTTTACTATATTCAAGCAAATAAAATGCTCTTAATAAAGTATCGCCAACAAGGGTTGGTATTGTGAAACTATAAACTGGATCACGAGATACTTATTAAAAATATTTTCATTCCAAAAAAGTTTTAAAACACGAAGCTATGCTGGGCTAAAACCAGCACAAACTTTGAACCTATCTAAAGTAAAAACAACTTAATCCAAGGATAAGTTTTGACCCAAATAAACCGATCTGCTTGAATACGTTTCGTAAAGTTCATTGTAAAGTCAAGAGTTGAAATCTAAACACAAAGTGTTAAACCAAGCGGCTACAAAAGCTTAAACTAATGCACCGTTCGACCGCCTTGCCCTCACCATGCACATGAATCACCGGTGATTCATGAAACATTAATTGTCTGGGCGTAGGAGCTTGCCGCTGCTGCTACCACCAAAAAATGTCTTTCAACATAAAACATGAAGTCAACACAGACACACCTTCTCTCCGCTCGAGTAGAAGAAGTAGCGTAGCCTCACAATGTTGCAGTGGTCCAACTTTCTCATAATCTGCAGCTCCCTATTCTATAAGAGAAAAATAAAACAGACACTAAGACAGGAAACACTTTCTTGTGGTCGTCTAAGCAAATCAGCGCTCCTCTGTTTTACCTTAAACCTTTTATCTTGGAGAACTTTCTTAATTGCCACCATCTCCTGCGTGTCGATGAGGCGAGCCTGGTAGACCACGCCAAAGGAGCCATTTCCAATGACCTTTATGTCTGTGTAGGACACTTCCTGCGGGCGGTCAGGGCCCTGGCCGGGGGTGGCTACCACCGTCGTCACTTTGCCGCTGTCTCCTGTGGACAGCAGAACAGAAACGACTTAGCATGCATAAATCGCATTGTGACGGAAATGAAAGTTAATTGATGATGATGTGAGGGCGTTCTTCTCCAGCAGGCACAGGAGAAGAGGAGATTGATGCAGCTACATACAAAGTAACGTCAGAAGAGAACCTTTCCAGCGGCTGCGAAAAACCTTGAAAGTAGGAACCTCCAGCAGAAATTTGTGTTCAGATTTTCTCCATTCGAGCTCGAGGCAAAACGTTCAGTTTATAGATGGGTAAACGTGGTAGAGGCGTTCCCCGAAAGACTTGTTGGAAGATGCAATGATTCATCAAGGTGTTTAATTTTGAAACTACAGGGATTCTAAATGTTTCCTTTTAATTGTCCATATTTTATGAACCTTCCTGAAGTTTTTGTAAAATACTTTGAATGAGAGAGTACACCTTCTTCTTTTTTTAAAATGTCATTTACTGCAGCCTTAACTGCCTGAATATTAACGGGGTCTAATCAATGTCATTTCCATAAGCTGTGAACCAAAAAATGCTGCTACAGACTGTCTTTATGTTGTGATATTGAGCCTTTCAAAGCTTTTTGCCACCTGGACCAAAATAAGCCTGCTCTTCTTTCAAATCTAACGCCATAACCTAATTTTTTCTTCTTTCTTTCTAGTGGACTCATAAGGATTTTTATTTACAGACTGAAGTATACTGTAGCAAAAGCAGATCCATTAGAGCACGGTTTAAGAACCTTGAAACTGTGGTCCATTCAGTGATAAAATCATTACGCAAATTTAATGGTTTTAAAGATGTCTGGGTTCTAAAAATGTAGTGAAATTGCCCTTTTCCAGCATGTGCAGCAAGTCCACAAAATACTTTATAATAAAATGTGGAAATCGAGTTGTGATGTGGCAAGTCAAAGATAAAATACAATAATTAAATATAAAACAACATAAAATCAACTGTACTGTTTGTTCTTCAGTTTTTCCAGTTTAAAAATTGAAGGGAAAAAATTCTTGGTAAACCAAATGTCAGTAAATAGATGAAAGCTAATTCTACTCTTCTTCAGGCTTCTCAGTCCTGGAAATATGTATCATTTTCCTCTAAATTCACATTTATGTACTACTTTACATTGTCCTATCATTTAAAATCTCCATAAAACACATTGTAGTTTGTTAATCCAACATAGCAGAAGTGAGAAAGTTTAAATTGTCCATGTGTTTCTGCACCTGATAACGAACAGTCTTTGATGAGCATCTCATTTAATTGCTGTAACCTATATGTTGGCTCCAGAGACTTCGCTGGATGATAATGAGGTAGTGATACTTCCTGCAGCTCTCCACCTGTTCACCTGGGTGAAACGAGGCTAAACCCTTCAGTCTGGAGGCATGCATTAATGCAGAACCGAATCCAAATCCAACCTCTGTACGACCTCCTTCCTGAGACGCCATCGGGACAAAATCCATCATAAAAACCCAAAACCGGAGGACTACAACTGCATCAAATCTTTTGTCTCGGTAATGCTTCCAAAAACACGTTGAGGTCAGACCGATGTCTGACCTTGCGTGACAAAAACAGGGAAAAGGAAGATGCTGAAGATGTAACGCTTCCTGACAGTTCCGGTTAGAGTCAAATAGCTGTGTGGTGTTTTATGCCTGTGCATGTGTTTGGTCAGGAATGATTTGGCAAATAGGAAACCCCTTAAAAAAAAAAAAAACATCAGGAGGAGAGGAGCAGCAGATAAGAGGCCCACTGCCAACAGGCTTGTCAGAGCCTGAAATGACATTGCATGGACAGCAGCACACCCAGAGGTGCAACATTTTCTGGGCTTGCTCAGTTCGCTTGTCTTAACAAGACCCTTCCACATTTCTTTCCTATTTGTGTTGTAAAATAGAGCCAAGGAGATAAAATACTCTCCAGTAAAGATTCGAGACTGGATTATGACCAAGATTAGATAAAAGGACATTTCACAACTGTTAGGTTTTACGTATTTAAACTTTTTATAGCAGAGTTATCCAAAGCTTCCCAGTAGCCTGTATTATACCCACATGATTAGCCTAGATCTGATCCCTTGGGTCAGCAGCGCTGAGATAAGTCAATGTGTGGGGCCTGCGCAGCGCTCCATCACTGCTCCACTCAACGGGCCCTTTGTGTGGCGTTTCAGCACAGCCACCACTTCTCTTAAAAAACGTTAAGTCAAATGGGGGCACATTAAAAATGAAGAAACGGTGGCATGATAGTGTCCTGAATAATAAATGTAAAGATTAGTGCTCTGCCCGGCTGTCAGAGACGAGCTCTGCTCTCTAACTTGACGAGTTAAAGAAAATGGATGAGCAGGGTGACTTTCATTACACCTGTACTTCATGAAAAATTACCCTGGAGTTGTTTGTAAGCAAAAGAAAACTTCACCACACGTTTAAGCTGATAAAAAGATTGTCAGTTGTGTGATAAATTACTATTAATATTTTATCATTAGTGGACCTCCAGCACCTTACCTGGCAGTGTTGGATGATGAATTAACGACAGGAGGACGTAGATAAATTGCTGTAAAGTCATTAGTGCTTTATAATTTCTTTACCTACAAGTTTTTCGCCTTTTCAACAGAACAAAACATTTTAACTGACCCACCGGCAGAATACATTACAGCAACTGAAGATGAATTGATTAATTTCCCTTTACTTCGATGCTGTTAAGTCTACATATTGTGTTGCCAAGATTTATCTCTACCTCTGCTGATTCAAGTACTTTAGCATGCATGTCTCAGGGTGATTGCAAATATTAGACATAGCTTTGTCATCACCAAACAGGAAATCTACATACCACATTAGATAGAAGTTACAGGGATTGGATTTATGTAAAGAAGCAGGAGGTCAGAAGCTAATGTGGCTGCCCCTGAGTCAGAGCGCTGTTAAAGGCTGAACTGATGAAAGGTTTTAGAGTGGACTGGTCGTGACTCACAATACCAGTCTGGTTTATAAGGTTGCCATCACTGCGCTCACTATTTATGACACCAGCGTGGATAAAAGTGGGAGATTTTAGAGAGTAGGAAACAAGTCTTTTTAAGGAAAATAGAAAAAGCTTCTCAGACAAACTGAGTTTGTATTTAAAGTAAATGTTTAAGGCAACAAAAGATCAGCTTGACTCAAGCTATGAAAAAGTATGTGAATGTTTTACATATGTTGGTATGGATAAATAGAAAAGCAATTTTTAAAAGATCTGTTCTTGGCAAAGGTAATGGCAAAATAAGTCTGGAAAAAAGTTCTTCAGATTTCAAGACTAAAACCTAAAAACGTCCCATTCTTTGATTTTGACATGAATCGCCTAGACTAACCTGAATATTACTGATGACAAAATGGGTCCAGACCCGTTTCTGCAGGATGAAGTGAGGTGCTGCAAAAATGGTTCAGGAGTGACTGAAGGGGCACAGAAACGGGTTTCAGACATTGAATTTTCAAGATCCTGCTCCAGTGGAGCAACACTTTGATGCAGCAGACATCAAGTTTGATCAATGGAGGCTCCAAGTCGCAGCACAAGCCTGACATGAGTTGAAAGATTTCAAAAATCGTGCAGAGAAACAAGTTGTGATGTGCAGGGTCAATATAAAGCTGGAAGATAAAAGGAGACAGGCAAGGATGCACTTATAACACAGGGAAAAAAACAAAACAAAAAGATAACCAGTCTGTTCTGCAGCAGTCACACTGCATGGCGTTTCCAGAAAACTTCTGACACTATTTGATATTGGTTGTAGTTAATCTTTAGTCTGAAGAGCGTTAAATCGAAGGTTTCAGCTCATCTGTCACACTGAACAATCAGAGCAGAGATATAAGTTTGCAGCTTCTAACAGCCGACCTGAGCGAAGAACCCGGCTTTAAAGAATCTGTAACCTGATCACACTGCAGACTTTATGAAGTCTGATCAACTTTATGCCTGATCACAGGCATAAAGTTTGTCTTTTTGATCTGATGACAAAAAGACAAACAATTCTAGACGAGTTATTCTTCTGCTATGGCTCATCAATGTTCTGTTTTGCAATGACTATTAAAAAATAAAAATAAATAAATCATGTAGCTACACAACATTAAACATAGCTACATGATAAACAAGATACTGTGATTTACTACCCATGCTGAGGATTTCTACATTTTAGTTTTTAAAAGCTATGGTAACGTTGGGCAACTGAACCGAAAAGTATTTTTGTACAACTTACCAAAAAGATAAAGATGTGGAAAACTGATGCATAGAAATGCTGACTGATGAAAATAAGAATGAATAAGTCAGCATTTAATAATTAATAGGGCCCCATAAAATGAGTCCATGCCACAGAGTACTACAGTTATTAAAACTTGCACAACTAAAAGCCAAAATATTTAACTTTAGTCATCCTGATAATATGATTCAAGATTTTTTTTTTTTTTGAACAAATACTAAAAATAGCTAAATCATGGAGAATTAATTCTACAAAGTGTATAAAATGCTTATTATTTTACAAACAGATTACAGTTTACACCTTTCTGGTCTGTACAGGCTTCCATCAGATAATGATAATGAAATTAAACAGAGAGCTCATGTAATTTACTTACATAACTATCGTCATCATTAACTACTGGAATGAAGGCAGCACAATATTAGAAAATCTCATCCTTCTCTTTCAGGGTTTTAGTGAACATATTGTTCACCTTTGGCTACTGCGTGTCATTTGTTTTGAAAGCTCTGAATAATCATCTGTTTTCATGTGATTTTATGTTCATTTTTTGAATAGTCTTACTTATTTTACCTTTGTGTGAACCTGCATGATTTTATTTGCCTGTCACTTTGCTGGTGATATACCGGAATTTCCCCAATAAGGGAAATAAAAGGTCACTTCTATTCCAGTAAAAACAGAGTAAATCAATAAACTAGTAGTAGTAGCAGTACTACCAATGCTGAGAGTTAAGTGGTAGTTCTGCTTTACGACAAATTCACAAAAAATAAAAATAAAAAAATCATATTCCACACCGATACAGCAGTATTTCTCACCCTTTAAAATAATATTCTGACAGAATTTCCAAAACTGAAATTTACTCTGAAATAAAACGGTCATTTTTTGTTAGAGCTTCAGCTTGTTGCTCGAACTAAAATTGTGACACAGTGATCTGTTAGTTTTGCCCTTTTGTACCATCCTGTTTAAAGCAACAAGTAATATTGTGGGTACAAATCCTTAGCTAAGCAGGAAAATGACATTTACATGTCTGCACACAAACTTACCTAAGGGAACGCCAGATTTAACAAACCGTCAAAGCAGCAGTTAAATAGCAAATAAAAGATCCATCTTTCAATTATCTCTAAAGAATATTTATGCCAGCGTAGCTTCATGGTTTTGAGCCCATTATGATCTACTTTCTAAATTGTAATTAATTGAGATTTAATCTAAGTACTGAAAAGAAAAAAAAAACATTTGCAGGTTAACTTTTTTATGAAAACATCTAACTTTATTAGATATTTTTATAAGACTATTTTGCCATTTTGTCATCTCTAACCAACAATTATATCACTTAAGTTATTTTGTTGCTCTTTCAGATTAAATTAGTTTTTTTCCTCCTACATACAGCTTTTTGTGGCTGTTGTTTGTGCTCTAGTTCTGCAAGTTATGATCACATCACTCTCGTCTCCTGTAAGATAGCTTTTATTTGCAATTATGGGATGCAATTTGACAATTCATGTCAAAAATATAAAGTGAACATATACAGAATATTATGTCTAATTTTTTTCTCCCATTCCTGTAGGTAAGATACCAAAGGAACGTGATGAAATTTGGATGTAGTAAATGAGATTTCTTTTCCCTCCAAATCAACAAATTACAGTTTAATAATGTAAAGTAACTGTCAGATGATCTGACACTTACAGCATGTCTAATTAGCCTGCATTTGGTGCAGCTTCCATCTGAAATTGAACATAATTTTCATCTGAATTACAGAATTCAATTACTATGTTAATTATGAATGTTATAAAGTCTGTTTTTGTTTCAAGTGAACAAACTGACCGAGCATTAAGAGGGAGATTGCAATATATATTAATATATATATGTATATTTTAGAGGATTAAAATTTAACTTATGATTTCGATAAAACAAATGCATCAAAATACAAGAATGTCAGCTTTTAAAATGCTGTCGCGGTCTTAATTTTTCGAAAACATAAATGATCTTCGGATCATCTGAATAGCATTTAATCCTCCTTGGGAACATTCTGCCAACATGCCAATCTATATTCTGTTAAGACGTGTGAACTATCTGGTACTGATATAATATCGGTGTGAGAAAACGTATCCATTAGATTAGCCAGATTTCAGGACGACGAAAAACTTAAGAGGTGAATTTTCCCAACACTTTTTCCAAACGTTAGCAAGGTAGCTAGCATCCACCTCTGATATAAATAGCAGAAAATATGATGTTCTCAGCTTGAGCTACTTCCATCCTTCACATACAAATGGCAAAGAACTGTTCGGCAATTTAAAAAAATATTAATTTTTTTGTTAACGTTGAGCTGTGACTAGTTTAAGCTTTTCGCCAGCAAAGCTAACGACATTGCTATCAGATGAAAGCCGTTGATCGCAGCGCTACCTCGGTGAAAAACAAGGCTATCCGGCTAACTGCTATGTTTAGCTCTCCAGCAACAGTCGACATCAAATTTACTTTGACGCCTTTATTTTCAAAGAATACATTCCTTCAATGCCCATAATGTCACGTATGACGCACTGGTCGTATAAATGTGAATACAAAACTTACTGGGCAGTTTCAAATTTCCAAAGCTCGTCGAGCCGCTTCCACTGGCTTGTGAAGCCCCAGTTTTTCCTGTCGAGCTTCCGCCGGCCCCCGCCGATACGGCACCGGCTGCAGCAGATCCGGGAGCTCCGGGAGGCTCAGCGAATGAGCTGGTCCTGGCCCGCCCGCTGCCGCTCATATTTGTGTGAACTAGAGCCGAGGGCACAGTTGAATGTTTAGAGCAGCAACACGGGCGGACACACTGCCATATGTGTGCGTGTTGTAATATTTGATATAAATTTTAAAAAATTACACTTACAGCGTTCAGTATAGGTTTCCCGTCTCCCCCTTTCTTCCTCTGTAGAACAGTGATGGTGGGGGGACTGGGGAGTTGACGCACAACGACGTAAAGACTGCAATGGATTATGGGAAATTGAGTTTTTAGAACGGAATAGAAGATTATCATCTACGGAAGAGGATTAGGGCCACCAGGGCCGTGCAGAGACCACTAAAGGGGCAGGTGCTCAACAAAAAAAGGGTCACATCTCACTGCATTCTAGGACAGAATATTAACAAAGCCACACAGCTTTCAGAGTTTCATAAACAATGATACATTACAAAATTGTGACATATACAATCAAAGTTAAGGAAAATCTCTATATAGAGCATACAACTATGCATATGTAAGGTATTTTATCTGCAGATCTATTTTGTTATAGAAAAGTATTGCAATATTCAAACCCGCAATTTAGCAAGATATGTAAATCAGAGCTGGACCACCAGACATATTGTCTTTACAGAATTACACTATTAAAAATACAAACAAGGGCACAATGCAACATATTAGTGTACTGTAACCTATGAAAAAAAGAGCTGCCTGTTTGCTACTGCAGTGGAGATGAAGATGGTCCATTCAGGGAAGCAGAGCTGCATCAAACTTTAATGTGGTACTGGAGAAAAAAAGAAGAAGAAAAAAACAAAACAAAACAAAACCAAAAATGTAATCGTTAATGCATGTCACCATGAGAAAAGCCTACTGAGTTTTGCTTAAAAAACATTTTGAAAAATTAAAATCACACATTTTTGACTCATGAAGTGAATTTTTTTTTTTGGCAAAACAAACTTCTTTGTGCATATCAAAAATATTTTCTTGCTATTCTAAGTTTTTGTTTGTGACTCAAAGTTTGGCTTGTGATTCTCACATGACGCTG